AAGTTGGACCTTACTTTCCATGCAGCACATTTCTGTTGTGAAGGTGCGTTTAAATATTACCTCCATGGTTGGACGAATTGTGATAGGGGCCTAGCAATCCTCGCGGTGCACAAGCTGAGCTGACCTGCACCTGAATCCTTCTTATCATTAGCTGGGCCGAGGGGAAGCATAATTAGCACATTTAATTTATGCGACGGTACTTAGCCAATCGGAAATCAAAGTTGTTAAATAGGCACTCGAAATCCTCACTGTTTTCCCAGTCCCTAATCCCAGAAAAAGTATACTATGGAACGCCATGCAAATTAGTAATATGGAACGCCATTTGTGCCAAAATCGATTTATTCTTAAGCATTTCAACTGATTAAGACAAAGATTAGGGACTGGAACCCAGTCTATGTCGCAATGAATGACCGGTCATTGGCAAGGATCAAGTAAAGTAATACATTTTTATATAGGCTAGGCCATTATATAATAATATATTGTTTCAAGGCCTATCCTAATTTCTTTCGGAAATAAAAATGCGTTTTTGTTTGTTTTTTTTTTCTTTTGTTTGTTTTTTTTTGTTTTTTGTCAAATGTCCGCGTCTTTTACTCAATATAACCGTACCTGCCGATTTAAAAAAATAGGCCATTTTGTTTACAAATAACTTGAATCATATTCGTTTGACCGCCATAAATGTCAAACTTGATGTAAGGCCGAACAAACATACCATACATACATACTATGACAATTTTATCAGTAACATTTTGCTCAGGCTCAGTGTTTTTATTTGCCGATTACAGGCTCAAGATGTTCTTATTTTGTTCTTATTTGTACACTCTTTTTAAACATAGAAAATTATTGTTTTACAGCAGTTATATATTATATAATAATAATAATAATAATAATAATAATATGTTATTGCGCTTAACGCCAAAAAGGTCTCTAAGCGCTTCACATTATTACCCCCGGTAATTGTATGGTAGTCACACCCTGGGGCGGATGCAGAGGGGGTGCAGACGGTGCGGTCGTACCCCCCTAATCTGTATTAAGAAAAATAATTGTTGTATTGTGTTGTAAGGTATGAGAGTGAAATTTGCGGGCGCGGATCCAAACATCTTCGCACCGTTCGCCAATATAAAGTGATAGCAGTGCCTGGTGGTCTGGCGAATTCGAACTATTTCTGTCAGAAATGCAACTTACCTAAACCAAAGACAAAAACATATAGACAAAATAAACTTTTTGCATTGTCTAAGAATTATTCAAAGAGGGACAGTAATTAAATAGGCTGCGAGAGTTTTTTTTTTATTTTTTTTTTATAATCAATCACAAGGAGGATAGGGGGATATAGGCTATACATGTGCGTTGATTCTTATAACCCTATTGAAAGGCATATACAATTTTATTAGGCCTTTAGGCCTATATTGTTATTCCAAAATTACACGAAAGCGAAAACATATTATTTTAATTATTCCTTTTGATTAATGAATTATTATTTCATTATTTTAATGAATGATTCATTTAAAAAGTCTTTAATGGAGTTGCTAGCATAAAGGCCAACTCAGAAAGCGTCGTACGACGCAGCCCGACGCGATTTGTTGTCGCGCCGGGTCTGTTTAAACGCAGACGCAGTCGTAGAGTATTGAACATGTTTAATTTAATATTTCTCACGCTGGCTTAAGACTGTCCCCGACGATAAATCGCGTCGGGCTGCGTCGTACGACGCTGTCTGAGTTGGCCTTAAAATTGTAGACCTAGAGCTTAACACTTATGAAGGCACTTTGATACAGTACATCTAAAAAGGAAAAAATGACCACCGAGCACTGAGAGATCGAACTTTAAACACGGAAGAGCAACGACGTGAATTAATGGTATGTAAATTTCAAATCATATACAGCGTTAAAAGAAATTAAGAAAATATCTAATAATCCTATACTACCGTATTAATTGGCAAGTAATGTAAAGTTTCCAGGCCCGTATATCCAGTAGATGGGGTTTTACGAAGAGTGCATATAACGCACCCAACCAAATTTGATAAGGTCCACATTTCCAAGACAGTCAAGAATGTACTGAATATAAATTTGTATATTTTCTGTGATTTAAAATAAAATCTTAAATTTTTATATTTTAACCAGTAGGCCTAATCTCCTCAGTCTGTCGTGATTCGGAAAAACGGAATTTATTCAATTTTGAAATTTTGGCTTAGGGGCACCCTGTGGATGTAATTTATCATGGAACGTGATCATATAGCCCTACTCCAAACAATTTTCGAAATATGAAATGATTATGAGAGTTACGCATTATATCCGACCGCCGTCAACCCACTAAGCAATGAAATAATAATAATAATAATAAAGATTTATAAAGCGTACATCTCCACCAATGGTGCTCAAGGCGCATACCTTGGCAATCTAACAATCACAGAAGACATTTATGCATAATTAATTATTAATATGACGGTACAATAAAAATGCATTATTATTTTTGCTAAAGTTACAACTTAAATGTTGTGGTCATAAGATTAATTTTAGAACCGCATTATTAACAAGATTATTAGGTTAATCTTCTTTGCACGTAGGTGCGTACACTGAAAACGAGGCCATATTTATATTTTTGAAATTGGATTTAAACAATCATAATTCTCTGTAAAGATTTGAAGGATGGACTTCCTTATGTTGTAGTCATATTGACACTTATATCAAAGGGCCTGTTAATCTACCTTGCACAGGAGCCTGTCGTCACCGGTGCTACTATACCTCTTTCTACTCCTTATCATCTCATCTCATCATCATCATCTTCATCCATCGCAATTAATAATTTCCATGGTGGTAAAACCAGTGGGGGGAGGGGCGGCGGGAACTATGAATTCAGTGTGTTTTCATTCATCAATCGAGGTCTCGTAATGCACGTCACGTGCATTTCTCAGCATCATAGAGATCAAAACTTTCCGAAGCTAGGAACCCCAAAACTACCGTAAACCACCACCCCCCCCCCCCCCCACACACCCACGTCTAAAATAGTCTTCCAGCGACGGAACAAGCAAACAATCATTACGTTCTCTTCCCATGACCCCGCCCACTCAGGGACCCCACATGTGCGATAGTCAGGGTAACCTCGGTTTCCATAAATTCACCCATCGGCGACAGTCGCCGACAGTTAGGCTATCTGGAAGGTTAAACCTGGTTCAACTTTTTCCAATTGCGTTGCAGACGCAGGGCCTGTTTCTGCAGAGCAAAAAAACACGTGTTTTTAAACGGTTATTAAAAATCACGTGTTATTAAAAAACACGTGTTTTTTCCCCAGTAGAAACGGGCCACAAAACAAAAACGCGTGTTTTGTGGTACACTTTTCAGCTGCAACGCAATACCGTGTTAGTCATGACCTGTCGGTGACCCAAATTGACCTCTTCGTTGGTTTGATCGCTCGTCCGCGGGAAATTCGGGGCGAAGAAAAAAATTTAACAAATAGGGTGACATGCTTGAAGATCATACCATACCGTACTTTTTTCATACTTTCGTGGTGTGTTGTTTACTTCTTTCGCAGCATGCGCTGTAGCTCGCAAAAAGTGTCAGCTTCAACAACTTCCGTTGGTGACCGTCAATTAAGCTCCGCCCACCTGCCAATGCTCGCATTTGACCGAGTTTTTATTTGTTGCACTTTTCACTAGAAACGCATGTGTTTTGGCGTTATTTAGCAGAAACACGCCCGCAGACGAATCAGGGTGCATTGCTAGATTCCCTGCGCAATCGGGAAGGCACCCCGATTCGTATGTGAACCACAACTGCCACGACTGTCGCCGATAGGGTAAGTGGTTCTATGAAACCGAGCTAAAACGCTGGATCCGCGCCTGAGAAGTCCATTCTCAAAATTCCCAGCCCCAACCATGGAGAGGCACGCTCCCCCTACCGCTAAATTCTGCATCCGCCCCAGAGTCACCTACTGCATATAAGGTACAGATAGATTTGTTGGTTTTAAGATCTATTAAAAAAAAAAATAAAATCATCACTTGACATTTTACTTTACTGGCAGCCAATTTCAACCTCAGTGTGTTCTAATAATGTGTTACTGTATATGCCTGCAGAGTAGTGGCCGCCTGCGATAAGCCCGCCTGCGATAAGTATCACACTTCGGACAAGGCCTACAGATTGTAAAATCATGTATGAACAGCCTATTCGAAGGAAATATACTCCTTAGTCCAGCCCCTCCCCCCACTCCCCCTCCCCTGTATAAATGGGGGATGAAAAATCTGTAGTTCACACAAGCAAGATGTTAACATTTTACTTGGGGACAAATGAATAAAGATTGTGTAGGCCTACTGAGGAAAACTCAGGTAGGCCTAAATCCCTAAACACATTTTTTTTTAAAGAGGTTACGTGCCTGTGACTTGTTCGTTTGTTGACTGGCTTCGAAACCCAACACTTTGTTTTTCCACTCGAATTCTTACAACTGGGATTCGGGTTAATTATTACAGAAATGAAAAAAATACCAGCAATATAGTATAAATGCGAACAATAAAAGAATGCAAGTCTCGTTTTCTGACACGTGCTGCCACAGCCTGTTGCTTCACTCCAAACGATGACCAACATCTTCTTGCTTTAGAAAATAACAGCGAATTACCAGCATTAATTCTAAGTCGCGTTTTAACAAACGTGAAGAAGATCCCACTCAAACACAGCATATTCAGCTGCTGCCGACATTAAACGGTGCTAAAGTTAACTAATATAGTGTTTTACTTTAATAGTACATAAATATTTTGTTATATAAGAAACGTACTTATACCAAGGATCGTAAAAATTATTTTAAATAATGCTCTAATAAAATCCGGTTTGTTGGATTGTAATAAATAATCTACCCATTTGGAAATGGAACCGCCTTATTAATAAGCCTGATTTTGTCACGCCAAGAGTGTGAGAGCAAAAGACAGCGAAAGGAGAGTGAAGAGTGACGAAGGTTTTTTCGTGGTCTCCCGCTGGCTGTTCAACCGTATTAAGAGCAACTATCACTGCTATTAAACTACTGCAATGGCCGAGTCTATCCACGGTAGCGATACATTGACGCTAAAAGCTTTGCTTGAAAGCCAGAGCCTGTTCAACCCACTATCCATTAGCGAAGGTAAGTTCTGCAATGAAGCTATGCCAAGCCGTTTATATAGCTATTTTTTCTTTCCGCTATGGTATAGAAAGTGTGTTGACCTCGCTCGAGCCAATAAACAAACACACTCTCTGTATATTAGGCCAAGCTAGTGCTGTAGTAAAGTGAAACGTCATTGTCATTGTTGCCGCATTGAACATTCAGTTTTCATTCATCTATTTATCTACAATTCTCCAAGCATTGGCCTGATCAGTCTTCGTGTGCCCAGGGAGTTATTATTGTAACAATTCCCTGGTGTGCCGAGCAAAATAGAGTGTTCGGACTGATGCCGTATTTTATGTCGACAACCAACTTGAAAATGCTATTGAAAGAGGATCCTACTTTTAATGTTTAAATTATTTACTTTTATATAGTAAAGTGCTATTTCTTTAGTTTGTATCAGTTGATAATTATCTACAGTATTTCTGTAAGTGGAGAACAAGGTTTACTAGAGTACGGTAAACTACAAACAAACAGTGATATCACCACTGCCCTTTCGAATTGAATTACGTCACGAATCGATACAAAAGTTCGTGTACCTTTTTGCACTCACGTGTAAGGGCGCAAGTCTCACGTGTTATGGTCGGATTATCTCAGACCACTGTCACTGAAACGGAAAAACTACTAAACGAGAGCTTGTAGGCTAACATTGGATTAAATATTTATTTTCATTTCCTACTAGTATTTATTAGAAAGAAATCACTGATTATTAAAACGCATTTTTTTGTAACTGATATTTTTTGTGTCATTTTCATGTTGTTTCTATTTATATGATTTATTTATTTCATTTATTTTATCCAATCCCAATGTAAATGAGATTGCAATAAAGATTATGTATATATAGAGAAAGAAATCTCTGATTACTTAAAACATTTTTTGTAATTGATATTACTTTTTGATTACGCTTTATGATTATTTATTACATATTGTTTCTATTAATATGATATTAAATAGCATGGCTGAGGTCTGTCAAGATTTTTATTACACTAGCATGACTCTGGTCTGTCTGTCTTTAGATGCAAATATCAATTCAGTGTTATTATTATTATTATTATTATTAAGGCCTATTATTATTATTATTTATCAGCTCTTTTTCCTTTGAACTATGTAATTGTATTTTTTTTTTTTTTTCATGAAAATGAAACTGTAAATTTAAATTTGGGGTAGCAGTACTATTACAAAATATCACTGAATTCTTTAATAACTCATAGAAACAAAAAAAAAAAAGCTGTAGTTTCAATGTTAAATGTTACAGCGAATGTTTTATAATCGCGTCATATAACTGATAATTGTCAGTATTCATATGTAGGCCCTATAGGATTATTTGATGTAGCGTAGCCGTTTTCCCCTATGTCATTAAATACAGCACTGAATTATGCACAACCTGTAAAGTATGCTCCCAGGGGATATTTTCAGTGGCATATCTAGTATCGTATCCCCCCCCCCGATCCCCCCCCCCCCCCCCCCCCCCCCAAAAAAAAAAAAAAAAAACAAACCCCCCTCATTTCTAACATGGAGCGCCAATAGAGTTGCGAAAGGGCAAAATCTAATACGCTGTATTCCTATATCATTGTAAGTTATAACATGAATGAATGAATGACTCAATCAATCATTCAAAAATACAAATAGAAAACATAAAAAAAAATGGAAATACAATATATCTGAGTAAAAAACAATATATATATAATATATATATATATACATATAATATATATATATCTATATATGGACATGATGACCTTATTCAGGCATGTCAAATAAATGAAATTTAATAGTCCATATATGATTTATATCAGTCCACAGTATTTCTCACTGGAAGCTGATAATTATAACTTGAACCTTAACCTTAAATTATGACCTTATTAAAGTTGTGAACATTTTTTTAAATCTGTAATTGTTATTTGTTGTGTATTTATTTTAAATAATTTGTTTCTTTCATAGCCAACAAGAATAAATCTCCAGCCTACCCATCACGTGAGCCAAGTCCAGTCAAAGTTGACATTGATTTCGAGCCCTCTATTACTGACGTTGCCTTGGCAACGATTCCAGGACAGGATACCTTTGATCCCAGAACGGCAAGTTTTAATGACGATGAACTAAAACCACAACCAATGATCAAGAAGTCAAGGAAGGTTTATGTTCCAGATGAACAGAAGGACAGTAAATATTGGGAGAGAAGAAGGAAGAACAACTTTGCAGCTAAGAGGTCGCGCGACGCCCGACGAGTTAAAGAGAACCAAATCGCTATTTGTGCTACATACCTGCAAAAAGAAAACAATGCTTACAGGCTTAAAATTCAGAGCTTGAAGAAGGAAAATTTAAACTTGAAGAAAATCATTGAAGAGTATGAAACTGAGATGAAGTTGTTAAATTCACTTGTAAAATGAATTTACATAAATATGGTTTTTTTAATATGTAAAGAATACAGTAAACAAAATTATAAAAATTGACCTAGTTAGGGACTGCCTATTTGGCATGCACAAGATGAACTGAAATAATGTATACCATGATTGTCTGTAAACTATGTGGATTTATTTTTATAGTTGTGAGTTTCATGCATGTAGGATTTGAACCGCAACCTCTCTGGAGTGTGAATCACACTTGTAACTGATCCGAGCTTTCGATTGTGCGACAATGGTAGGACGTAGAACATAGTAGCATCACATAGTCATCTACGCATGCGAGCATGTTAAGTTCTTGTGTCGCGTGGATTTCAAAATACAGTTTCGCCAAATGTATGTCGTGCAGAAAACATAGCATGGTCACTCATGGATTAATCCGTTACAGCGTCACATCGTCGCACAAATCGAAAGCTCTTTAGTATTCAAGGGGCGCGGGACTTAGTGGAAAGGGCCAATGGAAGGCAACCATTGTTAATGCCCAACTGCAGCTGTTATGAAGTAACCCATATAAGGTTATGTAACAAGATGGATTTATAATAAAGTGTATATTTTAACCAGCTTGAATTTGCCTATACTTATGGTTAGGTTTGAAGTGCGCCCTCACCTCGCTAATCATCAGAAAAATGCAGTTTAAATGAATGAGTGTTCTACTGTTACAAAAATTAAAAAATAAAATAATAGGATCAGGTAATATAAGATAAAAACATTACTGATTTCATTTGTGTAATTCTTTGCTAGCATATATATATATTATATAATATTATATATAATATATATAATATATATATATATATATATATAGATATAGATAGATTTACCAGCTGCTACCTATAAGCTATTATGTAACTATTATGCTATTGTGTTTGCTCCACTGTGTGTGAGCTTGAGCTTCCAAGTTGTATGAAGTTGGAGAGACTAGTGGTCTTAGATCCGTAATGGTATCGTACAGGGCTTGATTCCTTTTTTTTTTCATACAACTATAATAAGAGAACTTTCATTGATAAACTATGTTTGATGTGATATCATGATCCTATGTATTTGAGCACTAGTATTATTATCTTTTTGATTTATACGTTGTTTGTTCCCAGTGCTAAGCAGTAATTTCATTTGAATATATGTATATATATATATGTATATGTATATGTATGTATATATGTATGTATGTATATATATATGTATATATATATATGTATATATGTATGTATATATATATGTATATATATATATATATGTATGTATATATATATATGTATGTATATATATATGTATATATATATATGTGTATATATATATGTATATGTGTATATATATGTATATATATATGTATGTATATATATATATATGTGTATATATATATGTATGTATGTGTATATATGTGTGTATGTGTATATGTATCTGTATATGTATGTATATATATGTATATATGTGTGTATATATCGTGTCTCGCATCACGAACTAACACAATCAAAGTAGATTGTGTTAGTTTGTGAAATCACAGTAGCGCGTCAAAACGAATGCGTATTGGTTGTCAAGCAATTTTGTATTCTTTACCACACAAAAAGTCCTTAACAACAACAGCGCATATTTTGACGCGCTTTTTTGATTTCACGAACTAACACAATTGAATTTAATTGTGTTAGTTCGTGATGTGAGCGACGATATATATATGTATATGTATATATATGTATATATATATATATATATATACAAAGTATATATATATATATATATATAATGTAATCAGCGAATGACCCTTTCCGGAGTCAAGTCACAAACATGTCTCACAAACACGTGTTTCCCCACAAACGCACGTATTTCTGTATGTCATTCCACAGTACCCAAGGGAGTAGCTAATACAATAGGTTTTAGATAATAATATGTTCATCAGCGTTAATTATAACATTCACTGGCGTAACGCTAATGAGCACACATTATCTGAATTTTCGATGTGAAGCCCATGATATCACTTGATCACAATATATTTTCTTGATTAGTTTTTTTATCTGTTAATTTCGTTCACATTCAGTAGTGAATGAATAGCAACATGAAGGTGGGGGTGTTGCTTCACAATTGATAATAAAACAATTCAATTTAATTATTTAAGATTTAAGAGAGTGGTGGTGTTTTTTTCGAGATAAAAAATCCTTTTGTTGCATGGTTTGAAGCTAGATGTCATAATTTTAATAATAATAATAAAATTTTAATTCATAATTTAAATTTATAATAATAATAATAATCAATGAAGGGCTTCCTGATTATCCTGATGACATTTAAAGCAACTCAATTGAAACATCAAGACATTGAAAAACAACTTTTCAGAACTATCTACGTGGTGTACCTCAAGCATTTAATAATAATAATAATAATTCTGGATTTATATAGCGCCTCACGTTATTAATAATATATAATATAGTGGCGGATCCAGAAAGAGGGGATAGAGGGAGCCCAGTGAGGGACTTTAATAGATGGATGACCTAGACCACCTCAGCGCCACCATGTTGGGGCTGAATTAGGAAAATTTATGATTATGGCAGGCTATAATGGCCGAAAATGTCATTTTCTTTTTTCTCCATTTTTTTAATGATTTTGGAAAATTTAGGGGGACCCTGGCCCGTCCCCCCCCCCGTACCTAGTGAACAAGACATATGTTCATCCTTTACACTGACACTATTTTAAGGCAAGCACAAGAAAGTCTCCTTTATTAAAGACATTTTGGTTGACACTCGGTTAAGTACCACAGTCCATCAACCGCAAGCAACACGATGAGATGAACGTGCATAATCCGAGCATCTTAAAACAACATTTTTCCGGGAGAGGGCACCCAGACTTCCTCTGGAAATTTTCTTGCAACACCGTCAACAGCGTGGAACTTCAGGCTTCGATTCAGTTTCAGTGGTGGCTCTCTAAATTGCAAGCGTAAGGTCTGAACCATCAAGAGGCCGGCCCGATCCGCACGCTTGTGACACCAGAGCGAGTCATGTTACCCCTTCCCCATCGGATGTTGGACCACTGTCGTCGCACATGGACAACATTTGTCGTTGGACTGAACCTATATTTTCCGATCCAGTAAACGTTTCTAATATTGCAGTTCTAATAATATTGTGGTCTCGTTTAAGAGCACAATATTTACCATAAGTGATGAAAAATTCCTTCATATTTCTATAGTGGTCGAATTTTTACTTACCGGGCGGAATCCCCGCTCCCATCCAACTCAGTGCTACTAGACCTATATCAAATACATAACCTTTAAAGCCAGGCTCCGGAGGGAAAAAGTGTTGATGTGTGTTACCACTGATTTTACTAAGACAAAAGGGTGTACAAACCGAAAGGTCCACTGATTAATCTCAGATAACAGGGGGAGGGCTTGCCGGCCCTGGCCTCCCATTTTGAAAGGTAAAAAAAAAAAAAGAAAGAAAAAATTAATCTCCCAAAACGCCTCAGAGATTATTTTCGGGCATAGAACACAAACATTTCGCGGGAAAATTCCCCTGGACGCCTACGATGGTATTACCTCGATCGGCCACATTTTCGGTCCCTCTTTTGGACATCTCTGGATCCGCCCCTGGATAAAATAGTATAATACATACTCCAAGTACCGAAATGCACGCCATCGTGTTGGGATTCAACATGTCGACATTAATTATGTCATCGTCGTCATCATTCGATAATGACGTGACATAATTAATGTCGAAATATTGAATCCCGACTGATGGCGTGCATTTCGATACTTTGGATTATGTATTTTACTATCTTACAAAAGACTGACAAAACAACGGTTTAATAATAAGATACTAGGGGAAGTGGAATAACCACCCTTTTCCCACCCCTAACGTTTTTAAAGCGGTACAAGATTGTGTGGCTAAGCTGGTTTTTTTTGCAATGAGTGAAGCGATGTCTGTTTTAACTTCACAAATAAATCTAAGCCTCGCTTTCCTTCTGTCGGAAACATCATGCATTCTTGATTACCATGTTCATCAGCGTTAATTATAACATTCACTGGCGTAACGCTAATGAGCACACATTATCTGAATTTTCGATGTGAAGCCCATGAAGTCACTTGATCACAATATTTTCTTGATTAGTTTTTTTTTTCTGTTAATTTCGTTCACATTCAGTAGGTGAGTGAATAGCAACATGAAGGTGGGGGTGTTGCTTCACACTTGATAATAAAACAATTCAATTTAATTATTTAAGGTTTAAGAGAGTGGTGGTGTTTTTGTCGAGATAAAAAAATCCTTTTGTCGCATGGTTTGAAGCTAGATGTCATAATTTTAATAATAAAATTTTAATTCATAATTTCAATTTATAATAATAATAATCAATGAAGGGTTTCCTGATTATCCTGATGACATTTAAAGCAACTCAGTTGAAACATCAAGACATTCAAAAACAACTTTTCAGAACTATTTACGTACTTCAAGCATTTAATAATAATAATAATAATTCTGGATTTATATAGCGCCTCACGTTATTAATAATAATATAATATAGTGGCGGATCCAGAAAGAGGGGATAGAGGGAGCCCAGTGAGGGACTTAATAGATGGATGACCTAGACCACCTCAGCGCCACCATGTTGGGGCTAAATTAGGAAAATTTATGATTATGGCAGGCTATAATTACCGAAAATGTCATTTTCTATATTTCTCCATTTTTTAAATGATTTTGGAAAATTTAGGGGGACCCGGGCCCGGCCCCCCCCCCGCCCCCCCCCCCCCCCCCCCCCCCAGTGTCCACAATCAAGACATTCATCTTATACATAGAACACAAACATTTCGCGGGAAAATTCCCCCGGACGCCTACGATGGTATTACCTCGATCGGCCCCATTTTTGGTCCCCCTTTTGGACATCTCTGGATCCGCCCCTTGATAAAATAGTATAATACATACTCCAAGTACCGAAATGCACGCCATCGTGTTGGGATTCAACATGTTGTCGATATTAATTATGTCATCATCGTCATCATTCGATAATGACGTGACATAATTAATGTCGAAATATTGAATCCCGACTGATGGCGTGCATTTCGATACTTTGGATTATGTATTTTACTATCTTACAAAAGACTGACAAAACAACGGTTTAATAGTAAGATACTTGGGGAAGTGGAGTAACCACCCTTTTCCCACCCCTAACGTTTTTAAAGCGGTACAAGATTGTGTGGCTAAGCTGTTTTTTTTGCAATGAGTGAAGCGATGTCTGTTTTAACTTCACAAATAAATCTAAGCCTCGCTTTCCTTCTGTCGGAAACATCATGCATTCTTGATTACCATTTAGGCCTACTTTACTGCGATTATATGTTCAGTTCACACTAGGAATCCTGTAGACATATTTGTTGAATAAATTTTTATAGGAATAAATTTTTATAGGCCTACCAGCTGAAATAATCATTTCCATTTTTCATTTTGATTGACGTGTGCTCATGATATAAGTACTCATCCATCCTTACAGGATGTCTGGTGCCTGCACATTATATACATAAAAATATTAACAACGTATTTATAAGATATGTGTACATAGGCCATATTCTTTTATTATACAGTATAGAACCCCTCCTTTGGGACACCCTATTCAGGGAACACCCCTATTTGTTATAAATTACTTATAATTCCACTGTAACTCATTCTGTAGGTCAATAAAAATTAAATGATAGATCCTATGTCATAATGGTACAAAAACATACCAAAAACCCCTATTAAGGGGACAATTGCACGACCAAACACTTTTGTTTGGTCCGTAATGTGTTCTATTAATATGCTGTCTCTTATACACATCTAGATGTGTATAAGAGACAGGGATTTATATAGCGCCTCACGTTGACACAACCTCGAGGCACCTAACAACAACAGAGAAGAAGAAAAATTAATTAAGTTCAAATGATTGGTTTGATGATTATCAATAAATGTTATTATTACAATGCTTTGGTAATAGGAATCATTTCTTATAACCACTAGACTACGAAGGCTTCATGGTTGAACAGGTCCAAATACCCGTCGGGAACATTGTATTACACAATGCTATGCCTCAAGAGGACGTACAACTTCCTTCAATATCATATATATATATTGTATTTTTTATATCTCTAGTATTCAATCTTTTTAAGCAGGTGACCAGCAGTGGCGTATCTAGAAGTCTTGTAATGGGGGCGCTGATGGGGGCGCGAAGGTGAAGTGGGGAGCTCGATGATCAGTTAAGGGGACAAACTAGAAAAAAAAAAAGATAACCCAGAACGATTCAAATGTTATTTTCGGGCGTCTAAAACACAGAAGTTTCGCGGGGGCATGCCCCCGGACCTCCTATTTCAGTGTTGTCTCGATCGGCCCAAATTTCGACCCCCACTCCTTTTGGACATCTCTGGATCCGCCCCTGTAAACGTCTCATCCGAAAGACGGTGCGCTATTGTAACTCGTATTTCAGCCCTCTAGGAGAGGCAGCGATGGGAATTGAACAGGGGACCTAGAGATCTCCACGGTTCAGCGCACACACAGTGGCTACCACCAGCTTAGCCGACTGAGCTAAGCTGAATAAGCGCCCCTCCTAACTTGAAAATTTCCTTAAGCGCCCCGTTTGAATAACCGCCCCCCCAATAATATCCCCCCCCCCACTCAATAATATCATAAGATTTTCTTTTTAGCGAGTCAATTATCCAATCAATCCTGGGACTGTGGTTGTTGGCATGATTTGAGCTGCAGAGTGGAATCACATTCTTCTTAGGTCAATAAAAATATAATGAGGATATTTCTCTTGGACAGATGAGAGCTCCGATTCCTGGACAGACAGTATATTTCCAGGCCCGTAGGAGGGATTTTCGATGGGGAGAGGTGCGTTTTTGAACTGAAGTTGTCCTTACGATGGGCGACTGCCTAGGGATCCCCGAAGGTCTGACAAATTAGCATTTCGAGGGCCTTTTTTAATGGATTTCTAAAATCCATAATTTGTAATATCCTATTTAAATTTTCAGTAAAGCAGGAGAAATAGAGGGTGGGGGTGAAGGGAGGAACTTGCACAGACAGATGGCCAATACCACCTCAGCCCCACCATGGTTGAGGCTGAGGTAGAAAATTTATGATTACGGCACCTCAAAATGGCCGGAAATGACACTCTCAGACAAACTTTAATTATGATTTTTCTTTTTTCTCCATTTCTTTTATAACTTTAGGGGGCTCTCCCCTTGAATCCACCACTGTGAATTTGTACTTTTTCATGTTCTTTACATCTGTAGGCCTCAGATGACATGGATCAATCTGCAATCACTGCTGATAATTTCCAACAGATTTCGTAGCACATGATTAAAAATCAACGGGTAGAAGAGCTGGCAAAAAATGTAATGCTATAGCATTTCGCGATTAGGAACGATTTTAGTAAAATAATATTTTTTATAAAGTGGACATCTTGAAATTTGGTGGTCCAGGGGCAGGGGCCTGGAGGGGGTTTGTGAGAAAAGCGACAAAGTAGCATTTTGAGGAGGGTCATAATATAGATTTCTCAAACACATACCGTAATTCATGAATATTTCATTTAAATTTTCATTAATGTGGGTGTTTTTCGGACCCGAAAAAGTAACGTTATTATGTCCTGTACATCTGCAGGCCTATAGCTTCATATTATATAGATCAATCTACAATCACCGGAGACGATCAATTTCTAACAAATTACATACCACATTATTTAAAACCAACGGTTAGATAAGCTGGCAAATATAAATGCATTGCATGCTATAGCATTTTATGATAATTAGGAACGATTTTCGTGAAATCATAGGTTTTAAAAATTTGACCTTTTAGAAATGGGGGGGGGTGCGTCCGCACCCTCTGCACCCTCCCCCCCCCCTCTGCCCACGGGCCTGTATTTCCAATTTCATCTTCTTACATATTTGTCTAGGTCTAGTCCAACTCCTCTTTTTCTTTTTTCGGCAATTTGCACTTTTAGCACCTTCTCATCTCATTTCAGGAAAATCTCCTGCCGTCCCGCTAATCTCAATCGACCGATGGCCAACAAGCTAACCACTACCCACCACCACTAATTGCATCTGCTATTCTGCTGTTATGTAAATACTCACAGCATTCTTGTCATGAGCTATGTTCTCTGGACATTTATGTTTACCGCCGCACCACCATTCGTAATGTCCTTATATGCTGTAACCTGTTTTTATTCAAAAAGTGCCTCTTTACTTGAATTTCATAAGTTCCCATAAGAACCCCTAGATTTTTATCTATTTCCATCAGTGCCCCTTCAATTTTCACTCTGTTTTCATAAGCGCCCCGTTTTCATAAGCGCCCCTCAAAAAGTGCAAAAAATATTTTAAGCTTATTCGCGTGGGTACGTGATTTTTTTGCAGGGCGACTGGTGGTGGCGGAGTCGGGGGGGGGGGGTGCGAGTCATTTTTGGAGGGGCTTACTCCCCCCGCTCCCCTAGATATGCCATTGGTGGCCAGTTTCAATCTGTTGAAACCAGCAGCAGGCCTATATAAATTGTGGATTTTTTTTATTTTATTTATTATTGTCAGCCCTAACTATGATAGGTCTCGTGGGAATACAGTAGGAGAGGGTGGGGATAAAATAAAAACTTGCAACCCAGGTTTTCCAGTGGCGTACTTAGAAGTCTGGAAGTGAAGTGGGGGCTCGATGATCAGTTAAGGGGCGCTAATTGGCAAAATAAGGTGTTTAGGTGATTTTTAACTACTTCACCGTAATTTTTTTGGGGGGGGGGGGGTGACTGGTTCCGACGACGTGGTGTTTGATACCCGGACCCCCACATTCAGTGGCGTCTTTACAAGCAGTGCAGCCAGTACAAAGCACTGGGCCTAAGGCTAAAGGGGCCCATTCATAAATTGACCTAAATAATAATTTAAAATAATTTCCAACTTAATTTTGAAGAAAAAAAATTGGCCAGTGGGTAGGCCTATGTTAAATTCAATTCAGTGGTGTATTCAAGGAGACCCCATTTTTTTTTCAAAATCGAGGGAAAAGGGAAATTATATTCATTATATTGTAAATCGAATATGCCCCTCTAAAATAGTTACGATGATCCTTATCATTATTATATATTACTAAGATAGGCCTTTAGAAATTGCAATTCTTATGATGTATTTCTGAGAAATTTAGGGATGATTCCCCTTCTACATCAAAGGGCCCGGCAATTAATCTGGCACTTGGGCCCACCTCCTAGCTACGTACGCCACAGCCCTCATTTACTTCAGGCCCGATGGTGGGCTGAGGTGATGTAAATTTTAAAGGACACCTCTGGATCCCCAGCAATAGCACTTTCAGACTGTAAAAAATGCCTTTTCAAAGCAGCTTTTCCAACAGAATGACGTCCCGAGCCTGCTCCCCGGATCCACCGCTGGCGTTGCCAATATCCTTTATTTCCCATCAGTCTCCCCTCCCCTCCCTATGTCAAACGCAGATGCGAGTGAGCTAACTCAGAAAAAGCCAAACTCTTGTTAAAATCCCAGAGCAGGTGGTCGTGTTTCTAATTGACTAAAAACTTTCTTTGTAAGTACTGAAAATCGGCCGTAAAAGTGATTTATTGATTAGCATTGATGCGCGGGCCAGGGGTTGAATACAGGTGGTATGATGGAAATAGAAGTTTATGAGAACTTAAAAAATTATAGGCCTATATAAGGCGTATGTGTGCTTGGCGGGGGGTGGCGGGGGGTGTAGGTCTGGTCATACTGTTCCACATGTGCATTACAACACGTGCGTCCAAATAATATTCATTAAAAAAAAATGCGAAAACATGAAATGTGTATTCATGGGACGACTATTTCATTTATAAAATGTGCTCAGTTAAATTATTATTTTAGGCTATGAAATACAAATCTGATTATTGATTGTGCGCCCTCTATATGATCTAATTACCCGAGCATGAAACATGACGTCATATACCCACAATTCCATAGTAAAAGATTTAGCAAAATGGCTGTTTGTTGAGAGTTGAGGAGGAGCAAGGACAAATTGAAATCTGAAACAAAGGCGATAATCTATTGATAATTAGACATTACTTCTTTTTAAATTAATGAGTATATATTCCTTTACTTTGCATGGTGTTAAATCTGAGTTTAAAGTTGTTTTGGTCTTATTAAGATCTACTTAACGCTGGTTGACGTTAAGAGACTCGAGAGGGAACAGGACTTTTATGTGTGTGTAGTGTACTAAGTGTATAAACGTCAACAACCAACAGGAAGACCCGAACAAGATAAACAGCTGATTTGGTTGTACTTTTACGAAAGACTTTCAATGTGAGGGTAAAAAACAGCTTCAAGAGTGATAACTGTTTATAAACCTCCATTGTTACTTTAAAATGTCCGACAGACGTGAAAAGGTAATGTATTTTGGGGATATATATTTTACTGTTTCTATGTTATCCTACTGTTGTGTGAGCGAGTAATGACGATGTGAGCGACTGACTAGGCCTAGACTACCTTCCTGCTGGTTCTACCGCTGACTCCGTACAGCCAGCCTAGGCTTAGTCCTAGCTCTTTTCCTATATTGACAGTGTATTGCTATGTATTTAGGCCAACCTAGGCTTAAAATGTGGACTAAACAGTGCATTGAACACTTTCAAATATTTTGATTTATATAATTAAATTTCGGTTAAAAATTCCTAAGAAAGAAAGAACAATTTTCAAACTTGTTTGTTGTTGTTGATGTAAATTTCTTGTTCATTAACAGCAGTACTGAACAGATGATGGTTAACTCAGGTTTTTGGATATGTGTTTTTATCAGATATGGTAGCAGAACCCCGTATATTACAGAACACAGTACAATATTTATTTGATTTATAGACTAAACAAAAATCCAATTAAAACCAAAACAACAATAAACAAAAATGACAAAATTAATACAAAAACATCAGAGGATTATAGCAACAAAGGGCATACCTCTATTGTTAAAAATGAAATTACAATGAAAGACCTTTAAACATGACATAATTTTAACATCAATGGTATGTCCAATATGTTCTATGAACAAAGTAGACATTTACTGTAAATGTACTTTACAGTAAAAAGATTTATTTTTAAATTCTTTTTATGTGATCATATGAAGAATCACTTACTTTTTTACTATTTGTGTACAGAATAATATTTTTGAAATATCTTCAGAGAAATACAAGATTTTGTATCATTATATACAAAAAGGGTTTCTTGCTAGATAGCAGTCAGGCACATAAATAAGCATTTTTGAGTTCCTTATATTCTTCTTTGATTAATTTTCTTATAAATAGTCGATGGAAATAAGCTTCATTTGTTAGATATATGTTTAATTTGAAGTTGATGAATTAGTAGGTTGTTAAAGTACACAGCCTCTTTGTGAAATGCAGGTCTTACCCGAGGGACGGGTGAACCAAGTGGAAAACATCCAGAAGAGTGTGTCTGTCTGTAAGATCATTTTAGGCCAGTGAGTACATTTCCGTTGTAACACTGGATCTTTAAACTAGAAGACGGCATTTATGGAAAGTGTTTTTGCCTCCAAAGCACATGGTTCGGGTAGATTCTCCACCTGATTTCCTGCACCTCAGGTACAGATCCTGTTTGTCCCTTAAAAACCCCCTAAATTTAACTAACATTACAGAAGCAAAACCAAACAAGTCCAATCCCATTCCTTTCCGATATAATAATCAAAATTAGACTCGCAGTAGTTATTTTCCTCTGTCTGGGTTTTCTTCCCTCTCCCTTTATTGTCTGTGTTTTTTTATTTTTTATTACCTTATTAGTACAAAAGTACTTCAACTCTTTTCTTACATTTTAATATGTGTATTGCTTTTTAACAATTTTAAAATTTTTCTTTCAATTTTTTTATGTCAATTTCTATTTCTTTTTTTGTTGCCAATTTTCTGCTGTTTTTTTTTTTTAGATTTATTTTTTACAGTCATTTCAGCCTTGCTGCTGCTATGCAGTATGCATTTTATTTTAAGAATATTGAAGATTGAATAAATATACCTCAAATAATAACTTTTAAATTAGCTATTCAGTGCAATTGAATTGTCTATGGTTTTCTTCCAGATTTTATAACCATGACGGTACTGTATTTATTTTATTATGCAGACACATCTGAGAAGGAGTACACAATGGACCTCCCCCTAAGCCCCGCCCATGGATATTGTTTCTCAGGTCCCACAAATCAACAGTGTAAAAACATATGCAAACACATGCGTTTTTGTGAGAGACGCCCGTATTCTTGGCCCTGTTGTTCTAATTGGTCAGATGTTACGTTTGATTAATGCTCAAGAAAAGTCAATTAAAGTGTACTATACTATAAAACGTGTGAGCATAAAAATCGTTAGTGGGCCAAAGTGAATTTTTGATTTAACACCAAATGCTACACACAAACTTTGATGTTTCCAGGGAGCGTCTAAAAACCTCCAAGCACTGCTTTTACACCACTTTATTCTCAGTTTTAATGTTACTTTTTACATATGATGGGTGTTGGGCCGTAAAAAAAACAAGGTGTTTTCTAGCCAGTGTTTCTTGGTGGGCCGCTCTCATGGGGTTTTTAATCTATTTTGGCGTGCCGTAAAAAAATCGCTGTTGCACCGCATGCGACCTACAGGCCTCACTTTGCCAACCTGTGCAATAAAAGTTATACATGATATATTTTCAAGTTGTATGTTTGATTGTTTTTTTGTTTTCTTCCTTTTAGATTGGGTTGCGCCTTATACATCCTGTTAATGGCAACAGTAAAGAATTTTTCTTCACACCAAATGACTCTGCAACAGATGTAGTGAACCATGTATTTGACAACTGGCCTCAAGGTAAACACTTCTTCAGAGCCCTTGCTCTGGATGTTTTGGAGGGTTAGCAGGGTTGTGCTGTCCACCTTAAAGTCGGAGGGCTGTGTTTTTTAACCTTAAGGTCGGGAGGGTTGTGTTTTCACCCTTAAGGTCGGGAGGGTTGTGTTTTTTAACCTTAAGGTCGGGAGGGTTGTGTTTTCACCCTTAAGGTCGAAAGGGTTGTGTTTTCACCCTTAAGGTCGGGAGGGTTGTGTTTTCAACCTTAGCTTTGGAAGGGTTGTGTTTTCCACCTTAAGGTTGGGAGGGTTGTGTTTTCAACCTTAACTTTGGGAGGGTTGTGTTTTCACCCTTAAGGTCGGGAAGGTTGTGTTTTCAACCTTAGCTTTGGAAGGGTTGTGTTTTCCACCTTAAGGTTGGGAGGGTTGTGTTTTCAACCTTAACTTTGGGAAGGTTGTGTTTTCAACCTTAACTTTGGGAGGGTTGTGTTTGCAACCTTAAGCTCAGGATGGTTGTGCTTTCCACCTTAAGGTCAGGAGGATTGTGTTTTCAACCTTAAGGTCGTGAGGGTTACGCTTTCAACCTTAAGGTCGGGAGGAATGTGCTTTCCACCTTATGGTGGGAGGGTTCGAATCTTGCGCTGTCTTTTTTACTTTTGATCTCGGGTACTTTCCACCCCAGGTAACTGGTATGACGTTACAGATTTTTTTAAAAATAGTCTGGTGTGGTGCAAGAATGGGGAAGAGGTGTAACTATTGTAACTATTGAAGATTTAAAATTGATATTTAGGATTTCTGTAGCATCAGCAAAACACATTTATTGGTGGTCCATCCACAAGAGCTGTTGTTTTTACAGTGGTGTACCACAAGGATTAAACATATTATTACTTTGCTATGCAAACCGTTTAACAATATTCCATCCACAAGAGTTACAGAATAATGAAATAAGTAAACATTTAACAAGCAGTGTTTAACCAAACATAATATACTTCTTTTCATTTTTTTAATGGAATATGAAAAACATATGTTGAAATGATATATAATACATTACATAGAAAAAACCCAAAGTTACAAAGATCGGTATAAAAAAAACATGGAAATGTGAGCAATACTGTTAAAGTCATTAGTATCAAAAACATTTATATTAGAATAAAAATTTAGAAGAGAAGACACATACAGTAGGATATACTGATAAGACACATCACTTACAATGGCTTGGTGGATAACAGTCTGATGTTCATGAAAGACAAAATGTTCACAAAATGACAATCTTTATTCTATTGCGTATGTTATTGTTATACACAGCATGAATTAACTGTTACCCTTGATATGTGTAATTACACACAATGCAGGTCATACAACCCCTTTTCCACAATCTACCGATCAAGGACTTACCTAAATTATTAATTGAAATATTGAAATGCATACGTTAAATCATAATGTCTATCATTCCATGAACTCTGAATTTCTCATTAACTATTTGGCCTAGAGTTTTGGCTTCAGAAGAAGCTGTATTTCATACACTGAATATTCTTGTTTGCTTTAAAAAAAATTATGCAACACTGTTATTAAAATTAGCAACTTTAAGAGTCCATCCCCCCTGTTATCTTGCAGAATAATGAATGTTTTTGAAACCAATTTCAAAAATTGTATTTTTTTCATGTTTAATTTATGCTATGAATATATTTAATATCAATATATATTTTTTTTTATAGTAGGCCTATATATTGCTTGTGATAAGGAAGCAGGTATTATAAAATTTTTTTGTAAGCTGTATCTGGTATTAGCTTGATTCAATGATTTTTTACCCTTTGAAAATCAATGCGTCTTGCTTACTGTACGATATTACGACCTTGCTTTATATACTGTAAGATAAGAAGTAGGGCTGATAATTAAGTAAGGGGCGCTCCAAACCTGTTCATGAATCCTTGGTTCAGTCAGTCTGTGAGTAATATTAAGGCCTACAGGTATGCTTTAGACTAAACCAAAAATGAGCCTCTTCCTTGAAATCAAACTTAATTTTGATTTATTATTATGACAAGTATGTACAGTACAACTGTCAAGCTCACACCAACATTCTACAGTACATGGATTAACGAGTCATTAATTCTTTTCAAAAAAATCACAAGAATACGAACGTGGTAAGGGGAAGTGAATTACCCATTATGAAAATAATTGAAAAGGTGTAATGTAATGTATATAAATACTGTATATTTGCTATGTGCACATTTAGAAGTCTTAATGCACTGTAACTGAATCATGATTAAAAAGGTAAAAAAAAGATGTTTTTAAATCTCTAAATGACAGCAATCATTATATGTGACAAAGACAAGCCAAACCAGTCACTCGTCACAAATCCTCTTTTGGAGATAATGGCCAAAACATGCTGAAATGCCAACATTTTTGAAATCTATTTTATGCACTAAACTAACCTCTATATATATATACATCATTCTATGCTGTAATTTTCCTCATTTTCAATGTTAAAACAACAATTTTTGACGATTTGGTGATGGTTTCTGCCTAAGAAATGCCTGAAATCATAAACTTTAAAGGCTGATTTCTCAAATAGTGTTCTTTAAACAGCTGTATGATTAAACTCTTTATAACTAAATGTCGGATTTAAATGAGTCTTTTACCATTATATAGCTCTAATTTTAATGTACCCCTGTATTGATAATTAAAAAATTGATTTGTGCGACGAGTGACTGGTTTGGCTTGTCTTTGCCACATGTTTATATACTCTTTTGGTCCAAAGTTGGGAATCATTACAAATAGTATGTTTTGTACTCCCTTGAACTCATGAAAAAATGGATGCTCCCTAAGTTGTTGTTAACAGTATTTACATATTTTTGTAGGGTTGTAGCTGAAGAAAACTAATGGTGGGTGATAAGAGTAGACTTTAAGGATGGAAAAGTGGGTTAGTAAGGGTGGGTAGAGGGCCATGAAATTAGCTTTAGACTGGGTGGAAAACTTAAGGCTGGGTGGCCCTGCCCACCATAACAGCATCCCTCTTTTTGTACTAGAAGTTGGGTACTGTTGACCTATTTATGATGTATGCTTTTAGGCAAGCATCAGAGAAGTGAAATGTATTTCCTACACGTCATAGGTTGCACATACAGTACTCATCAGTATTGTATGTAACAATAAAATTTATCTCAATGATGATTATATTACAATATCCTATGGACATTTAATGGGCTACAAAAATTATAGAGTAATTAGTGTACCATGATTACTCTTGTTCAATGAGCATTTGATTGTTGTTAGGTTACATATTTGTCAATAATTGTCAATTTCCTTAAAGTCTTATCCACTGTACAGGCTATAAAATTTCATTTGACAAAAACGTGACATGCCTAAATATGGTCACGATCAGAGCTGAAAAAGATATTTTTTCTTGATGGACCAAGGTTTAGTTTTGCTAAAATAATTGCTAGCCTTATCAGCTATTGACTATTGGTTTAGTTTTAATGTATTTTCTGCTAGCCCAGCCCTAAAATACTCAAGTCCCGGACCCAGGACCACCAACTTTTTACAGCCCTGATGATGACATCCCATCATGGCCATATATAGGCACAACATGACTATATACAGGCATACTACACAGTCTTTTGTCGAAGGAAATTTGATAGTATGGGCAGAGCCTAAAAAATCTACTTCGTTCTTGAATGCTGAACTTTTCTCCACCCACATTGCTTGCTCATAATTAATAATTATAGTCTTCTTTCCAGCGTTGCCCTTCAACTCTTAAAACAATGACTAAGCTTTGTCGTTGATATCAAATTTTACGAGACAGATCTATGGGATTGGCACATACTGTATGGGCGTGATATTGATAACATATCAGACTCAAAAATGACCAATCATAACTTGGTATTACAGGATGGAGGTATAGTATTGTATACTCTTGAGTTACTGTGCTAGTTTTTGTGTCGCAGGGGCTGTATACACTTAGTTGTCGTCTCACTTGTTGAGTTGTGAGAGTAAATCTGGTTTGAGAGAGGAATTATTTGATACCATTGCTTCATAATGAGTTAAAGCAAAGAGCATAGAGAATTGCAAGAGTTCCGACTGTCAAGGTTTATCTCAAGCAGTAAACACTTGTTCTCATTGGGAGCCTGTTTTTGTGTCTATGCCACCTTGGGGGGGGGGGGGAAAGACACTATGTTATGATTTGGCAGATAAAGATGGCAAAAAGGGTAAATCCGGTGGTAGTGCATGATGGGTCATGTGTCATCTTAAGTACCTTATTACTATAAAAGTCATTAAAATAAAATACATCACCACACACTTCCAGATAACTAAATTTAGTATTTAATACACAACATAAATAAAATGATGATGTCATAATGTGCACTATAAATTTTTCATTTGGAATTTTTTTTTTCACTTAATTATGCAGACAAAATTGCCTTGCAACAATAATAACAAGAAATCACCATGACAAAATTCTTAGTATATTTCTCACAAAAGCCATTGTCACTTCATTCACAGTATTCAAATTTTATTCTTTGTGAATACACAGTGGTACATCTACTGTGCGGTATCTAAAGCTACGTCCACACAGTCAAAATGTTTATGTGACATATTTGTGTGATGTGCCCATATTACAGTAGTGCATCACGATGTCATATTACACTTAAATATGGGTGTATCATCATATTTTGTTTGTCACATATAACAAAACTTTATGTTGTGTGCTGTATTATTGGAATCCAAATCAAGTGTACCAGTTAGGCATTTTCACATGCAAGTATTATGAGGACCATCGCAGTACAGTATCTCCATGCAAGAACAGGCTTCAAATTTGTGGCCTTGATTAGGGAGCCCAGCATGTTGCTTAGAAACACAGCATGTTTGGTTAGGAACCTAAAAAATGATGCTTAACGATCAGGCTGCATGTTCAGCAGAAACCATGTACTGTATATCAACCACTTCAGTGAAAACTTTTTTTTAAACCTGTTTTTTTCTGCAATTTTCATATTTTTCACAACTAACTCAAAATAGAGTAAAATGTAATTACATCGGTAACAAGCTGTTGACAGTTTGTTGTCAGGGAATTCTATGTTACCTAGGGAACAGGCTTCGTGTTGCTTAGGAACCTTTCATTTTGCTTTTCAATGATAAAAAGGAAAACATCTCGCAAGTTTGCTAATGAATTAATGATCATGATTAAAGCGTACTGTTTTCATATATCATGTGATGTTTATTGTGTGACCATAAATCAACCAGAATTTGTCTTGGTAATTCAAATTTTATGATTGCAAATTATTGATACAGCTATGATGAAGTTTACCATTGACTTGCTTTGCTAATTACATAATTTTTAAATATGGAAATACAGTAGACTCACATCGGCACTAGGCTTTGAATAAAAGTGAACTTCAGGAACTTAGTTTTCTGTAATATTAAAATATTATTTCAAACTTAATATATGTTTATATTACAGAAGAACGAAGTTGCTTAAGTTCACATTTATTCAAAGTATTAGTGCTGGGTTCAAGAAAGAAGCGTTCATGTTGCGGCCCTGTTCATACCAATCCTTTCACTCCTACATAACATCTCCCAATTACGTACCCCTCGTCTCCGTCTGAACAGAGCTCGTAAATAAGAATATCTGTAATTCTTTCATTTTTTTTTTTTCATTAAGGTATTTATTGCACAATCATAAAACATTAAAATATATAACAGCAGTCAAACAAAGGAAAGACTGAAAACAGTAGACTCACATCGGCACTAGGCTTTGAATAAAAGTGAACTTCAGGAACTTAGTTTTCTGTAATATTAAAATATTATTTCAAACTTAATATATGTTTATATTACAGAAGAACGAAGTTGCTTAAGTTCACATTTATTCAAAGTATTAGTGCTGGGTTCAAGAAAGAAGCATTCATGTTGCGGCCCTGTTCATACCAATCCTTTCACTCCTACATAACATCTCCCAATTACGTACCCCTCGTCTCTGTCTGAACAGAGCTCGTGAATAAGAATATCTGTAATTCAGAGGGTTCAAATTTTCAGCATCTCAGTGTGGTGAGGGTAGGCATACAGTAGGCCTATGCTACAAGTTACAGGGCTAGGTATTCATAAGCCTTGCCATAGGAACACATTTTTTCATGGAATATGAACTTGCATTTTTTACTGTTTTCTGCAACAAAATAATACTTTACAGAAGCCAAAATTACCTATGCTTACTGTGAAGTACTGTCTCCATTTGAAGTGATTTCCAAATAAAAACATGACCATGTAATGCCCAAAACGAGTGTTATTATTCTTTTCATAAATAAAGATCGCAAATCCATGCGAATAGCGCTGCCAGTTTACAGTATGCCTAAACAAGCATGCACAGCTCAAATATATCTCACTCACCGATAAAATATATCGGCTGAAAACGATTGATATTTCTTGCTTTAAACTTAGTTTTATATCGCTTTATTGGTTTAAATGTTTTCTTTCTTAGCTGATGTAACAATTTAAATTATTTCTGAAGACTTTTAAATACATTTTATAGAGTTTTTGTATTTAAAAACGATCGTTGGTAATGACATCATCGATGCAAATCGGGTTTGTAAAATCGAGAGTTCATAAAAAGTTTGTAACTAGGATATGTTCCTCTAAATCGACATTGCTCTACAGATTATGGTCTTATAAATACACTCGATAAGAATATTTCAAATTGTGGATTGTTAGTCCCGACTATGTTATGCCCATATATAGTCATGATGTGCCTATATATAGTCATGATGTGATGTCATCATGACCATATATAGGCATGTCACATGTTTTTTGTCAAATAAAAATTGATGGTGTGGCCAGAGGTTTATCACTCAAATCCACCTCGCTCCTGTCAGACAACCCCAGAGAAAATTGCCTTATATTGAAAGTTATAACAACAGCACAATTCTTTCATCTCTTGCATTCTCTTGAGTACAATCTTAAAGACGTGCTATCAGTCAAAAGATACGTAAATACGTCCAAATTCAATTAAGATTTTGAAAAGCTCATTTAAAAGGTTCAAATATATTATTAGACTTCCATGAAAAAACAGATTAAAAAATCCTTAAATTAATACCAGCTATTCAAAGTTTAATTTGAATTTGTTGAAGTACAGTATTTATATGTGCTTTGACTCTGACAGTGATAGTATCGTTAATGCAAAATCACTGGATAATCTAAACTTAATATTTCTTTATACAAATATTCTGATTGTTAATTTCTATTGTCTATTACATAGGTTTTTGCTTGACTTTTTAATGTTTTTAAACCTTTATAATACAATTGTAAATCTTCTGTTGTCTATAGGTTTAAACTTTTTTTTTTAAACCCTTGTAATACAATGTATATAAACATTTGAATTTAGCTGTTGCAACTGTAGTATAAAAAAAATGAAAACTGAAATAGAATACAAATAATCTTTTACTTATCTTGTGGTAATATATGATGTCAGTATTTTTTATTATTGATGTCTTCCAACTGTATGACCTTTGTATAAAGCAGGAAGAAGACTTCACTGAACACAAGATTATTAATTAATATGGCATATAGTTTTGCATTTACATTCTCAATAGTTTTAATGATGTTTCTATTTCTTATTTTTTTTTTTTTTTTTTTTTTTTTTTTTAGTTTAGAATGGGAGGCGGACAGAGTAAGCTCAGCGGCTATACTGCGGCTTATCTATCAAGGTAGATTTATTCATGGGAATGTAACATTAGGAGGTGAGTTATTAAATCTGTTTACATTTTATTGATTATTAATAATATCTCAAGGAAAATTTTTTTGATTAGTTAATTTGTAACTGGAAGTTGAAACATCCAGTAATATTAATGTTTTTTCTTATTTTGATCTTTATTTTTCATTATAATATAATGTTCTTATTTTTAGTATATTCAAATGGATTTTCACATTTTAATAGCATACAGT